ATCTCGAAATACACGATTTCACCAGAGCTGAGGGCAACCGCCACCTGACGCTCATTTGTCGCAGCCGCGACAATCGAACGATGTTGAGGAGCGGGCCACTCATTGACACGCCGATCTGCAAGGATATGGCGGATGCCCCTCGGATGAACCTGAATCAGCGAATCCTCACCGAGCTGCTGAACAGCCAAAGTAGGAGCAGTTGAAAGAAAGCCGGTATCGGTAACTTCTTCAACTGTCTCACCGATGCTGAGAACCAAGGTACCGTTTGCGAAAGAAAGAATAATGTAAGCGTCAAACTCATCGGCACGAGTTAACTTGGTAGTCCAAACAGCAGAAGGCACACTAGGGAGCTCCGATTCCACGATCTCAGAAACTTCCAGACCATGCTTGAGGGTTCTGAAGCTGCTCCGGGCGCCAGTACCGGATACAGTGTAAATCTGCGGAGCGTCGTCCTCGTTAAGATTCACGATCTTACTATCGATCAAAGGGTTGAGAGAGTTGAGTGTCTCAACGAGGTTGAGGTTCTCCGCTCCTCTCGGTCGGAAGAACACCGGCTCATAGGGAACAGAGGGATCCGCAGAAAAGTTTTCACTGCTGAACTCAGTCTCTTCGTCGTCGTCTCCCAGCTTCTCGAATTGGTAGAAGTGATGGTTTCCTGCTTCACTGGCAACGTAAAGGAAACCACTCTTCAGGATCAACAGATTGGATGCGACAGGGACTGTATCAAAGTATTTGATCTTCAACCTTTTAACCTCGCCAGTCAGTTGCCCGTTGTCATCCTCCACCATATCGATGGTAACCTTGAACAGGTCGCCATCTTCAGTCTGGAGAAGGAAGAAGAAAGCACCCCTCATCTTGTGCATGACGCCGGCGACGATAGAGCGCTTGCGGTCGGGGTTTTCCGTTGCACCAATGCGTCGAGGAATCGGGACTCTGAATGCATCTTGGTTTGAGTGCCGGTAGGTAATGCTATCCTCTGCACATACCAAGACACCACTGGGACCATCGGCTCCTCCCGGCACCTGGAACAGCATAGCTGCGGTGCGGTCAACAGGATCTGCCCATTTGCGAACAACATGATTCAGACCGAGGTCAAGTTCATAATACACAAGCAGTTTTTCGGACTCTTCGTACGCTCGACCGGTTGGATCCTGATCCGACTCCGAATAATCAACCTCGAGGGCCGCGAAGATGGGATTCTCGTAGCCAACGTCCAGAGCCGTCATCGCAAAGACCAGTGTCTGCGGCTTGTGGGCCTCCAGAGGGGACGAAATCGTCAGCTCGGCCTGCGAGTTCCGATTCAGAACATAAACGAGCTTATTCTTCTCCACAGAGGCAATCAAACAAGCTCTACCTTTTGGATCGACCGCAAGGTATTGACCAGGCACGACACGACGAACGCCGGACTTGCCGAAAGTCTCAAGATGGATACGGTTGAACCGATTCTGGGAGGGAACGTATTCAATGATTGTGATACGTCCTGAGTCCGAACCAATGATTATATAATCTATATGCAATATTCTTTCAGCACAGTTCAGAAACAGCATGCAGTGTCAGCAACGCCGACCGCAGCACGTCCCGCTTCCAATAAGGTCGGTTCGGCAGATAAGGATCGTGCTGCCCGGGAAGCTTCACGAATCACTAAGTTGGTCTTGCGATTGGGGCGAGGAGGGAGAACGTCAAACATACCTTTACTGCTTCCGGCCAGCCGAAAGGCTGCCAGAGAACGGATGATACCGAAGACATCCTGGGAAAAGATTGGTGTAATCTTGCCCTGAGTCGGATCGGGACGATGAATCGTGAGCTTCGACCCTGACGCGGTCACGATCTGCTGCTCCTTGGTCCCTGCAAACTGGCCCAGAATAGCTTGTGTGATCGCAGTCGGAGGCTGGATCGTCAGGGAATACATGAACATGTTCGAAGTGGTAGCCATAGTGAACGATTAGGCTGTTTCAAGCCCAAACCGAGGGTTGAGGTTTGCTAGTGTTTTACGACGCAACTGCAGTCAATTTGACTTCAGAATAGAGTCAATCCCATTGCTGCAGCTTGAGAAATTGCAAAAGAGGACTCTCAATTACCGAGTGTCCTCAGAGAAGGGATTGCAGCAGGGTCGGAAATACTTGCACGAGAAGAGCGAGGATTGCCTAACTGCGTCCTGAGGAGCCAGAAGTGAAAATTCAGCTCTGAAGGGAGAAAGAAGCTCCAGTCACGTGGGTTTATACTGTTTGTTCCCTGATGCACGTGACGTTATTGTCAAGATTCACGCTGTGATGAGCTCAGTGCATTGATTAAGAAAGGCGGTCGATGTGATTCTGCCTGCTTCCACCTTACCAATCACTTACAGCCTAGAGGGGCCTCTTCCCATATCCAGCTTACAGAAAGGCAGCCGACTCATCTGTGTCTCAATTTCATCATTTTACCTGTGTTGTCTCATATTCTCTGTCACCCTTCGAATTCTACCAACTGTCCCTTTTATTGACTGTACTGTGATCTCTCTCTGCAGCACATCAGCCTCTCATACTCCTTCCCGCACCTGAATTACGTATCATGGCCGACGATACCGCCACGACTGAAGATTCGCCCATCACCTTCACAATCAAATCCTCCAATGACGCCAAATATACACTCACTCTTCCTCTTTCTACTCAAGTCTCGGAGTTGAAAGAAAAGCTTTCATCTTCCGAATATGCCGATACTCCAGCTGAGCGGCAGCGTCTGATCTACTCTGGGAGAGTGCTCAAAGATAATGAAACTTTAGCAACTTACAAGATCAAAGATGGCCACACTGTCCATTTGGTAAAGAGCGCTGCTAGCAATCAGAGACAGAGTGGGGCTACGCAGAGTGCGGCTACATCTGCATCTACTGGTACCTCGGCTGCTCCTGCAGCTGGTGCTGTGCCCACCAATCTCGCTGCCGGTACCGGTAACAACCCGCTCGCGGGCTTGACAGGTGCAAGATATGCTGGATTTGCGCAGCTTCCGGGCGCTGGCATGTTCGGTCCAGATGGCGGCGTAAGTGTTCCACTGTCGATTGAGAAGTTTTGCTTGCTTCCTGGAGTTCAACGGCTGACTGATGCGTCTAGATGGGACCTCCTCCCGACGCCGAAAGCATGCTCAACATGCTTGAAAACCCTCAGTTTCAGTCCACCATCAATGAAGCCCTGCAAAACCCAGCCATGATCGACATGATGATTCAACAAAATCCCATGTTGCGTGATATGGGTCCTGGAGTGCGGCAAATGATGCAGAGCCCTGAATTCCGCCGCATGCTCACCGATCCCAATTCTATCCGCCATATGTTGCAGATGCAGAGGGCGTTTGGTGGCGGTGGATTGGGCGGAGGTAGTGCGTTCCCAGCCCCTGGGGTGACCAACACGACGCCCGAGGAGAGCAGAAACAACCAGGACAACAATAATGCGAATACGGGCACAGCGGGTGCGCCTCCTTTCAACCCTTTCGCTTCTGCGCTAGGAGCGGGCAATCCTTTCGCTGCTCTTTTCGGTGGAAATCCACCAAATTTCGGCGCTAACCCGTCAAGTACCTCGACCGCTGCAGGTGGCGATCAATCCCAAGGCACGCAAGGAGCAACTGGCAGCGCCTCTGCTGGCAGTACAACTACCAGTGAAGGCCAGAACCAGCAGAATCTTCAGAATCCATTCAGTTTCTTGATGAACCCCGCCATGTTCGGAGCTACAGGTTCTCAGGCTGGACAGGCCGGCGTAAATCCTTTCAATCCGCAGCAGAACCCCTTCCTTCGAGATCCCGCACTGCTGTCGCAGATGATGCAGGCCATGGGAGCCCAAGGAGGTGCGACCGGTGCTAATCCTTTGGCGGCTCTGCTTGGGGGCGCCGGCGTTGGAAGCCCTCCGCCGCAGGACAATCGGCCGCCTGAGGAAAGATACGCTGACCAGCTCCGACAACTCAACGATATGGGCTTCTTTGAGTTCGAGAGGAATGTGGAAGCTCTGCGACGCTCAGGTGGCAGCGTTCAGGGTGCTGTAGAGTATCTTCTGAGTCATCCTTCGTAATCTCTGGGACTTCTGACGGTGCGCAAATCTCTTCCCTTTTACCTTCGTCCGGTCGGTTCGTGGACCATCGGCTGGACGTCTTTCATTTGCCAGCACAATGCGGTCCTGTTGGCGGCTTCATCTTCTGTCTTCTTATTCTCGACAAAGTATCTTACGATTACCCCTCTGCGTATCAGTTTCCCCGAATGTGAAATAGCCTGATAGGCGACCGTTTGGACAGCTTAGTGTAACTTTTCAACTTCAGTCCCCAGATAACACGGTTAGACATGATAGATTTGTGTATGTTCATAATCTCTCATGGAGTTGTTGAAGATGATTATTGAAGCAAGCTTGGTGAAGACTCCATATCGCAATGAATTTCAGACGTGACGATGTGTATATTTTGTGCATGGTTTATTCATAAGTTGATGGTTATCCACTTGAAGAATGGAAGCTAAGCCTATTCTGGATGCCCTCCTCTACTCCCATGTTCTGGCCTTTATATGTAGTTGAGCTTTGTTATTGTTACTTTCTCTCCAACGATCGAGTCATCCCTTCCCCGTCCTCATGCTTGATCTTTCTTTCACAAGGCGTTATCTGCCGTTCCTTTCGTTATAATAAGCTGGACTGTGAAATCGCGGAATTCCCGTCGCTACTCAGTGGCATTCCGACGACTCGGTGCCACATCTCTCACATTGACAATCATCTTCTTCCTCTCATCATCCATATTTCCGTTTTCCTTTGCGATACTTTGCGATACTCCCATCGGAGTCTGCACATATCGATACAGAACGTATACTGTTTAGTCTATCTTGGACAAAGCTTGTTGGTGGATTCGGAGTGCGTCAAGGGCGGCTGGCTTGCCCACCTGCACTTGTCGACCATCGGACTTGCCCCGCACGACCGATATCATTCAACCGATTACTTGTGCGTGTTTGTGTGATACATAGCCGTGGACTTCGCCTTGGAGAGAGTCGTTTTGCGGCTGCGTAGATGATGAAACTTCGATCGGTGTTATGTCCTCGCCTATGGACAATATGGCTGTTATTCGTCTGCCACGCTTGCGCGTTCTACATACCAGGTAGGCTTGCCGTTGACGGAGGTTTCTTTGTACGTGAACTTATGTCCCATCTTATTCCGTAGGTTACTCTGTCACGCGCTATAACGACGACGAACCCATTCCCCTCCTCGTCAACAAGATCTTCTCGGACCACACGCAGCTACAGTATGCCTACTTTGATCTTCCGTTCGTGTGTCCGCCAAGTGGGAAGAGTCACGGTGGCTCGCCGTTCGGCTCAGGAAAGAGTGTCTCGCTCAACCTGGGAGAGATCCTCCGCGGCGATCGCATCATGACCTCGGATTTTGAGCTTCATATGGGGAGGAATGTGGAATGCCAGAAACTCTGTACGGTGGAGGTGGGACGGAAGGACGTAAAATTGGGCCGGCAACTGATCAGGGAAGGATATGTGGCTGAATGGATTGCGGACAATTTGCCTGGAGCAACGAGTTTCGTCACGGTTGACCGTAGCCGCAAATACTATGCCACCGGATTCAAGATTGGGGACCTGGACTTTTCACCCGGCACCGGCAAGCCACGTTATTTCATCAACAATCATTTCAATATAGTCATCCGCTGGCGGAGTGCTCCGGAAGGAGGAAAGGTGGTGGTCGGTTTTGAGATCTATCCGAAGAGCATCACAGCCAGCAATTATGAGGAAGACGGATGTCCTAAACAAGTGCATGGCAAACATGAGGGTCTGGAACTATACATTGCTCCGAATCTGTCGAGGCTGAAGGAGTTGTATCCTGAATCCTCGTATCTTCCCAAGGAGGATGATGAGATAGACGATGGTGCCACGCTGAAGATCCCATACAGTTACTCGGTCTACTTTAAAGAAGAGCCTGGTATCGAGTGGTCGAATCGCTGGGACCTTTACTTCAATAATCAAGGCGAAAGTTCGGTGACACATTGGCTGGCAGTTCTGAACTCTTTGATCATATCGGGTGTGCTCGGTGTGGCGGTCTATGTGATCTGGGGAAGGACGGTGCAAGGAGATATCAAGGGACTCGGAGACGGCGCTATGGAGGATGGTAAGATCAAATTACGCTCCAAGTCAGTCGAGAAGAACGGAGAAGGCCTCCTGGATCAAGGCACGGATGTTGAGCGGGATGCCGACGGATCGTCTGATGACGAAGCTCTGGAAGATGTGAGCGGGTGGAAGCTTCTCCATGGAGACGTTTTCCGGGTGCCCGAGTATAGCGGTCTGCTAGCGCCATTGGTGGGCTCAGGCATGCAGTTCTTCTTCATGTTTTCCGGGCTGTTGATCCTCAGTTGCTTGGGTGTCTTAAATCCCAGTTTCCGAGGTGGATTTGTCAGTGTGGGCATGGGGTTGTTCGTCTTTGCAGGCCTTCTCTCCGGATATTTCTCTGGGAGATTGTACAAGACTTTTGGAGGTGTCCATTGGCGAAAGAATACCCTCATCGTAAGTTGACCTGCTGTTTCCTTCTTACTCCGACTGACAATCCGCCTAGACAGCTCTTTTCTTCCCCGGATTGATCTTTTGCCTCATCTTCATCCTGAATCTTTTTGTCTGGGCACAAGCGTCGAGTACGGCCATTCCTTTCGGGACATTGGTCGGTCTGCTTGCGTTATGGCTTCTCATTCAAGTTCCCCTGGTATACCTTGGCAGCTGGTACGGCTTCGTGCGAGCGAAACCGTGGGAACACCCGACCAAGACGAACTCGATCGCGCGTCAGATTCCGCCTCAACCGTGGTACTTGCATAGCATTCAGGGAGCTGCCCTCACTGGGTTACCTCCATTTGCTGTTCTGTTCATTGAACTACTCTTTGTGTTCAAGAATTTGTGGCAGGACAAGAGTGGCTATTACTATGTTTTCGGCTTCCTGAGCGCTGTATCGACGATTGTCATTATCACAGTGAGCGAAGTGACCATCATCGCAACGCACAGCCAGCTCTGTGCTGAGGTAGGTGACTCCGCCTTTATTTTGTGTATCATGAAGGCTAACCGCAGTAGAATTATCACTGGTGGTGGCAGAGCTTCCTGACTGGTGGAAGCAGCGCCTTCTGGGTATTTGCCTACTGCATTTGGTACTACTTCTTCCACCTCCACATCACAGGCTTCGTATCGAGTCTGCTCTTCTTCAGCTACAGCTTCCTGGCTTGTGCGGTGTACGGCTTGCTGACAGGGACCGTTGGATTCCTGACGGCATATACCTTCATCCGGCGTATCTACAGGTATGATGGCCCCTTCGAGTATATCAGAATGGGCTAACCGCGATACAGTTCGATCAAGATCGATTGATTTGACATCATGTAGTCTATAGTCATTCTGCAGGCGCTTCCTTGCAGAAATGAGCTTGTAGCATGTTACACTGTGCCCTTGATTTCTCTGAACTGGACTGATACGTATATTTTGATTAGCGTTCAATTGCATGCAAAGTCCAATATCAGCTCTTCTGACATTAACAAACACAGTACATACATTTCTTTTCTTCACTGATCGTAGCGTCGTCTCAAGTCGGCGACTTGTTGACTGTTTCTGTTGGTGCTCGTCCACTATAATGAGGATTAGACGTATGTAGTCCATTCATGAGAGCTAAATCGAGGTCCCCATCGGTCTTGCTGGTTAGCGATCCCTCAATTGACCATCTGTTCATTTCGCAAGCGGTTGTGCCTCGGGACAGCCATTCAGTCATTGGACCGTTCTCTTGCTGTGGTACAAACACCAATCTAATCCATATCCCTTGCGTTGCAGCCCAGCATGACAAGTCCTATTCAGATGCAATCGAGGTTCCTCACTGAGTAGCCCTATGCCAAGGCCTCAAGGTGTACAGCAAGCATTCCGCTCATCTTGGCAGAATTAAAGAAACTGCCCTCGACGCCAAGCTTAATGGCTGCCTAGAAGTAGAAGTAGTCTAGAGGTAATACACTGGAGAACAGGCTACAACGATATGAAAGACACTCAGAGATTGCGTTACATCAGCGATCGCTGTCGACGCAGCAGGGAAAGGTGTCGCTTGGACTCCGTAGTCAGATAGTCCATGCAAACGGAACGGACTACGTCAGCCAACCGCTCCTTGATTGCGTGCTCAGGTGAGAATATTTGCTCATATGGAGTCACCATTATTCCAAGTCCAAGAGATGACGGGCACGTTCACTCCTGCAAAGAAAGTATTTGCTAAGCCTACGCTACCTTGGAGTCGGCTGCGCGTCTTGATCTATGTCATACCCCATACTTTCGTGCTGTGGAGTACTAACTCCGAAGAGAATTCGTACTATTGTCTCCGCAAAAGCAAGTTCATTCCGTAGATCTTCCAGAAACCTTGCATATCTGTGAAACGGGCGATCTTCAGGAGAGGCGCGCGGAGAGGCGTGTGATAGGAGGAGGGGACGATGATGCCATTGTTGCTCCGGATGGGGAATTTTGTCGGGTCCCTCGAACTGGACTGGGATGGTACCTTACGTAAGGCTGCTGGGTGTACGGAGTACTGTTAGATTGACTTTCGCGATGCAAGTGAGACAGAGTTGGCTATTGGGATGTAAGCTTGCGCGTTTTGGCTTTGATTGCCACTGTCTACCATATAGTGTCTACTATCTAATTGTCTTGTCAGTCGATTATTTATTTCTTGGAGACCTTGGTAGAGGCGTATCAATTGTGTATCAGTGCAATACACTGGTAACAAAGTTATCAGCTGACCTCCGAATTGAGAAGTGCTGCTCGTGTGATAAGCATGTGGGTCTATCGGGATCCGGCAATCACTACATCACACGACCAATCGTATTTCGCTTTTTATTTAGCCTTGAAAGATAAATAGCCGCTATACCCATCTAGGTTAATTCCCTTGAATGGCGGCTTCTAGCTCAGAAGCTGGTTGCTCTAGAGTGTAGATAGTCCACTCAAAAGCAGACCCTCGAATGGGGCTTTCGGAAGTGACTATGTGAGTAAGAAACGAGTTATAAACCAGGATAAGAGGTATGGAAGACGCAAGATTATCCCAACCCCGAGGGAAAATTCTTTGGAATCAAATGTGATAGAGCTTGCGTGGCAAATCATACAAGACCTAGTTAGTCATCTTATCACTGCCCGTGACGATCTTTGGTTTTCCGGAATCCTTTTCTATGCTGGGTAATCAAGTCCATTCACTCTGGACTCACGCGACCTATATGACTCCCATGAACAACGCATCAATTCTGCCGAGGAGAGATTGATTCATCACAAGAGACCTTTTTTTGCGAGCAATGGCCATGAAGAAAGGGGCATAGAGCATCACGGAGGCCAAATGATCTTCAGGAGCTCCTTGAGACTCCAGAGGACTGCAAGCCCGGAATCCGACGCTGGAACCAACCCCCGACGCTCGAGTCAGAAGCGGCGGATATCACACCATCGTCCCCGCCGATGGTTCCATTGCTGCGGACTGGGGTGAAATTCTCCAGCGCTCAATCTCAATCAATTCTGGTTTCATCTTGCGAAATGGTGTTGTGGATGATGCATCTTTGTCACTACGTATTGCATCTCGACTACTACTATTGTCCATCCTGTATCCTGGGGGCTATAATCTCTGTAGATGTTCTAGTGGCAGTTAGTGTGCTGTATTGCTATGTATATTTTACTAGTGTGCATTCTTCTCAGCTAGGCCGGCAACTTTATCAGAATTACTATAAACCCTGTGCTGTGATTGGACCCCAAAAGACACAATTCACGGGGATATGCAATCTAACAATTAACGGGGAAGTCTCCTACTGCTTAATCCCTTCATTTTTCTTTTTTTACCTGCCTTTTTTGCACTCTCTATTTTTCTCTTTTTCTTTTTCTTTTACCCCTTCCATTAGTTTCTCTCATCCACTTCTTCTTCACTCCCGTACATTTGTCAATAATAAATTGTTTGATTGTTGATTGTTCAATCTTTGCTCCACTTGCTCTCTGAACCATTGGACTCGTTCCCTATATCTATCCATCTTTCCCGTTCCTCCTTGTCTTTGTCCTCTTCCTCTTCCATCTCCATCCTTGGCTTCCTCCCATCTCCCCATTCCTTTTCTGTCCTGTAATTCCTGCGTACATCTTGATTCTAGATTAATTTTATCCTTGAAGTCTCGTCTACTCTGTCTAGTCTACTATCCTTCAACCCTTTCATAGTGATTGTGACGACAACGACACCACACCATGGCGGCCAAGAAGCCCAACATCCTCTACATTATGGCGGACCAGATGGCCGCTCCCCTTCTGGCCTTCCATGACAAAAACTCTCCTATCAAGACTCCCAATTTGGACCGTCTGGCTCGGCAAGGTGTGGTGTTTGATTCCGCATACTGCAACTCCCCGCTGTGTGCTCCCTCGCGCTTCGTCATGGTGACCGGTCAGCTTCCGTCCAAGATTGGCGCCTACGACAATGCCTCCGACCTGCCCGCCGACGTCCCCACATACGCCCATTATTTGCGCCGCGAAGGCTATCATACCGCTCTGGCTGGTAAAATGCACTTTTGTGGACCAGATCAGCTACATGGCTATGAGCAGCGATTGACCAGCGACATTTATCCCGGTGACTATGGTTGGTCAGTCAATTGGGACGAGCCGGTGAGTTGCCTTTTGTCATGCTCGTAGTACAAAACGCTAATTGAACAGGATATTCGTCCGGACTGGTATCACAATATGTCGTCTGTGATGGAGGCAGGTCCTGTCGTGCGCACCAACCAGCTCGACTATGACGAAGAAGTCATCTACAGGTCTACGCAGTATCTTTATGATCATGTCCGCCATCGTACCGACCAGCCCTTCTGCTTGACCGTCTCTATGACCCATCCGCATGACCCCTACGCGATGACCAAGGAATTCTGGGACATGTACGAAGACGTCGACATTCCGTTGCCCAAGACGCCTGCGATTCCCCAGAACCAGCAAGATCCCCACTCGCAGCGGGTCCTCAAGTGCATTGACCTGTGGGGCAAGGAGATACCCGAGGAGCGCATCAAGGCGGCGCGCCGCGCCTACTACGCCGCGTGCACCTACGTCGACACCAATGTCGGGAAGCTGCTGAAGGTGTTGGAGAACTGCGGTCTGCGCGACAACACCATTGTCGTCTTCACTGGCGATCACGGCGACATGCTGGGTGAACGAGGCTTGTGGTACAAGATGGTCTGGTACGAGAACTCGGCGCGTGTGCCCATGATCGTGCATGCCCCTAACCGCTTTGCTCCTAAGCGCGTTTCGGAGAACGTCTCGACCATGGATCTGTTGCCTACCTTTGCCGCAATGGCTGGAGCCCCGTTGGTCAAGGAGCTTCCACTGGATGGTGTGTCGCTGATGCCGTACCTCACTGGCGAGGAGGGTGTCAAGACCGACACGGTGCTGGGCGAGTACATGGCCGAGGGCACTCAGTCCCCCACGGTTATGATCCGTCGCGGCCGGTGGAAGTTTGTCTATTCGCTGATCGATCCCCCCATGCTTTACGACCTCGAGAACGACCCGGAGGAAAGGGTGAACTTGGCGGCAGGACTTGCTGAACTGTCGCAACCCTTTGCCGTCAAGGCTGCCATGCCTGATCAGGTCAGGCCTACAGCGCTACCTACACCGGCTGACACACCGTCGGGAACTCCTCGTGTGTCGCCAGTTCCCCAGCGCGCCAATTCTTCCTTCCCGTTCCCGACTCCCCCGCGCACTCCCAGTCCCACCAAGCTTCCGGCTGCGCTGCCTGCGACCACCGATTCGGCCACGCTTCTGGCGCACTTTACCGAGGAAGTGCACGCCCGCTGGGATCTGAAGGCGATCCGAGAGGACGTGCTGCGGTCGCAGCGCCGGCGTCGTCTGGTGTACTCGGCTTTGATCCAGGGCACTCCGACCATCTGGGACTATGAGCCTCGCGTTGACCCTAGCACGCAGTATGTGCGCAACCGGGGCAAGGGGGCATTGGACGATGTCGAGTTTATCTCGCGCTGGCCTCGTGTGTTGCAGCAGGCCGCCAACGCCATGGGTGCGAAGGTCTAGCTAGCATATGGCCTAGCATATGACGGCGACACGTCCGACTCCGTGCTTGATTTGAAAAGAATGGTTTCTCGCAGAATTTATCTCGGCATCTGATTTCGGTTTATTGTTGCTGCTTGTTCTAGCGCGCGTATACCCGGGCTTGTTGCATTCATGGTTTGCTGGCGATTTGAATGCGTCGGGTTGATCGTTTCCATTTGATCCACAATTTGGTACATAGGATCGTTGAGTGTATTTAGGGTACTCAGACTGTAGCATAGGTCAATGAATCTACATAATGACAGGATGCATTGTACATTGTATAAACATGTGATATGACGGCGATGATGATGTCATCATATGTTGCATCACCCAACTTATCAACTAAGGTACTATCTCGACTTCGCTATCTCGACTTCGCTATCTCGACTTCGTTTACCTCTGTACACGACGAGGTATCTACAGCTCAGACTAACTATGGGAAAGCTCAGACTGACTCCCGAATAATTCTGAAGACTGAGATCCGGCGTCTGGACTCGGCTTTTGCTCCCTCGCTATACGAAGTACCCCACTTGACTCACAGATCCGTATAAGACCTTCCCCTCACCACACCTTCCAACGCCATCATCACCCCTCAGCTCAGCCAAGAACATCGCAACCCGCGACAGAAGCCAACAACTGCAACAAGATGCCCTCCAAAATCACCGTCGCAGTCGCGCAAGCCCGCACCCACAAAACAACACAAGCCACCCTCTCCGCACTATCCCGCATCGCCCACCACGCCCGCACCCGCGGCGTCCACCTCCTCCTCTTCCCCGAAGCCTATCTGGGCGGATACCCGCGCACCTGCTCGTTCGGGTGCGCCGTGGGCTCGCGCGCCCCGCACGGCCGCGACCAGTTCCTGGCCTATTTCCGCTCGGCGGTGGATCTGGGGGATACGCCTGCCGGGGCCGGGGACGACTGGGTGCATCGCCGGTTGCCTGTGGCCAAGGGGCGGAGCGAGCGCGGCGATGGGACGAGGGAGGAGATGGAGCGGGTGGCGAGGGAGACGGGGGTGTTTCTCGTTGTGGGGGTTATTGAGCGTGCGGGTGGGAGTTTGTATTGCTCTGTTGTTTATGTGGATCCCCTGCGTGGGTGTCTTGGGAAGAGGAGGAAGGTTATGCCTGTATTTCCCCTCCCCCGTCCTTCTTTATCTGCCGAATTGCAAAGTCGGGAAGTTAACGGTTGGTAGACAGGAACAGAACGCCTCATCTGGGCACAAGGCTCCCCCTCCACCCTCAAGGCCGTCACGACACACCTCAACGGCGTCCCCGTCACCCTCGCCGCAGCGATCTGCTGGGAGAACTACATGCCCCTCCTGAGACAGAGCCTCTACGCCCAGAACATCAATATCTATCTGGCCCCCACGGCCGACGCCCGCGATACCTGGCTGGCGCTTATGCGGACGGTTGCCTGCGAGGGCCGCGCGTTCGTGCTTTCGGCGAACCAGTGCGTAAAGTATAATGAGTTGCCCGAGTGGGTGACCTGTCCGCCTGGGACGCAACAGCCGCAGACGCAGATGCAGATGCAGGTGCAGACCCGGCCGCCGGCGCATCGCAAGAAGCATTCCATTACGGCCGAGGGCCCGCATGAGATCGTTTGGCCCGACGGGGAGAAGGCGGAGACGGAGGCGGAGGCGCCGGTGGCGGCTCTTCCGGCTTCTGCGGCTGCCGCTGACGGTGTTCCTCGTATGTCACTACTGCTTCTGCTTAATGATTGTGGCTGACATACGACATGCAGATGGCGATGATTTTGTCTGCCGCGGGGGATCGTGCATTGTCGGCTGCCAGGGTGAGGTGCTCGCCGGCCCGATCTGGGAGGTCTCTGCGGATGATGCGCCCGATTCGGTGGTGACGGCTCGCGCGGCTGGGACCGATGCCGATGGGAATGCGGTCGGGGATGGGCTGCTGGTGGCTGAGATTGACCTGGAGGACTGTGAGCGCGGCCGCCTGGATATGGACCTCGCGGGAAGCTATTCGCGCAACGATGCGTTCAAGTTGACGGTCGAGGGGTTGGACCTCAGCCCTCCTCCGTTCTAACTGGGCGACTACAATGGACTTGGCTTTAGTTGACGAAGTGAACTTAGTAGGATTATCATAATTAGGTCGTGAATTCATACGTCATATCAAATATACAGGCGCCTTGACCAATACATTCGTAGGCCCTCTTCCGCGTACCTCTGCGCTCAGGAACGAGGCAAATCGGATCCGGCCGCCGCTTCGTTCCTCCACCGGCTCTTTCATCTCCTTGCCGCCGTGGCTGGCCTCGACTGCAGGGACCGGCCGCTTGCCCATCAACGTGTTGAAGACCGACCTCATGCGCTGTTCGCGTCCGGGGGTGGATCCTGCCCCGGATGGCCCGTCCATCGGGTTACTACCGCCCGGCGGGGGCACGGAGTCACCGTCGCCATCCTCGACAAACCCATCGTGAGCGCCCTCGTGCTCGATAGAGCCTCGCGCAGGGGGCACCTCGGGGAGCTGTTTCACATTCGTCAGCGGAGGCAGGCCCCCCTCGATCTTCATGACGGCCTCGTTGACCAGCGTCCCCGGCATGAAGTACTCGACACAGATGTCGCGCGACTCCAGCGGGATCTTCTCCGAGATGCTGACCGCGTTCTCCACGATCATCTGTGCGCCGTTCTCGAGCCCCGCCGGCGGAGGCTCACACAGGTTCATCTCCAGACACGCGACGAATTTCTCAACCAAGTGGTTGATGAGCTGCGCCCGGTTTTCCTCCGCGGCTTTGCCCTGCAGAGCGTCCGTGAGGCCGTCGAATGTGGTTCGCCGCCAGTTGGAGATCCGCGCGATCGCGTTCTCTCGATCCTCCTCCGTGTAGGCCTTGGTCTGTTGCCGACGCAGGTTCATCTCAATGCTCTTCAGCTGCATGCTCAAGTTCGGTTCCAGAGCGGGATGGAAATGCCGCTCAAAGATCTCTTCCACCAGCCATCGGCTCATCGTCGCGCGGCCAATGGCCGTCATTTCCTTCATGCCGGTCGCGTGTGCGTCCTCATTGACATGGCCAGCCAACCAGGTAGGCAAGCTCTTCCAGTCTCTCCGAATGGAAAAGGCCAGATCCTTGATGGCACCGTCAAGCCGCGCGAATCGGTTTGCATATTCGTTGTCGTCGAGGACCGTTCGGGACACCGCCATGCGCTGATGGGCCACGGTATTCTGCAGTTGCTGCACCTGAGCATCTTTCTCGAAATAGTATCGCTTCACTTTGGAGTACTTGGCCTCTACAGTCCTGTCAGTATGTCTGTCGACTGGGCGCGCTGGGGCGTAAACTTACGGAGTTCATCATGCTTTTGTAGCAAAGCTCGCACATCGATCTCGCCCAGATCATCTCTTCTGCTCGAATTGACGGGGGGCGTGCTGCGCCCTGACTCTGTGACATTCTGTTGACTGCCACCTTGGAAGGACGGGTGACCTTGGGGCTGCGTCTGCGGTGGACCGGCCGGACGGTCGGATGATGAAGCCATGCCGCTCTGGTGGGCGGAAGATGGGCGCAGATCCGGTTGATGGGAGAATGGGGGCAACGGAGAGGGCGGCCCCAAGGACTGTCGCGACGGAGGTCGTGCACTCAACGGCGGGTCCACTTGAAGTTGGGAAACAGGCGATTGTTGCTGCTGCAGATGCGTCTGTGACTGATTGGAGATGACTTGGGAAGGGTCGACAGGTTGCCTAGAAGCCGAGTCGACAGGTGAGGAATTGTATAGTTTCTCGAGAAGACTAGGATCGGTGTTGGATCGCTGAATGGAAGGCGGGTGCTGCGGGGAACGGGGAGGTCGCTGATGAGCTGATGCCGTGTCCTGTTGCATGAGGAGAGACTGTGAGCTGCCCCGGTTCGGATCTACCACATGGTCCTCGGGCACTGTCTCGGACGAGGAATGGTAATTGATATTTCGGTTAGTCTTCTGATGATCTCGATCGCGATGCGTTCGGTGGGTGTCTAGCGATAGTTGTTGCTGATGCCGTCGCTGGCGGGACGATTGCGACGAGGCAGTGCCTTTGACGGACAGGCTGCGTTCCAAGAAGTTTGTCGATGAGGAGGACGAGGAGGAATGTAGGCCGAATAGCTTCCTGCGGGACTTTTGTGGCGGATCCTGTTTATTGCTATTGTGAGCGTTGGGGGCCAAAGCCGATTGCTCAGGGGCCCTGTCCACGTTGGACTGGTCGGGAGGGTCAGCATCGATGAAGTGAGTAGCAGCTGGTAAAGCGGGGGTCGCAAGTACCGAGTTGAGAAGAGTGGGAGAGTGATGGCTTTGCGACCGAGTGATTGTAGGTTGATACGGAGGTGGATGTTCCGAAGGGTTCTGATGATCGGGATGATTCTGATGATATAGCTGATGAGAATGGGGATGATGGTGTTGTTGTTGTTGATGATGTTGAGAATACGAGTTGTCTGGCGGATCCGCAGGAGAAGTGGGGAGCCGTACGTCGGCGAAGCGCTGATAGAACGCAAGATCTTCAGGAGGAACACGAGGCGACGAAGCGGTGGACGGAGGGGGTACGGTCAGTTGCTCGACCGAACGAAAGGCGGGAGATGCAGCAGGCGACGGGGATTTGTGCTTTTTGCGAAACAAAGGCATGGAGAGTGGGATGGACGCGATGATCGTCCAAAGAGGACGAAAAGGAGGCGGGGAGGAGAGGAGAGGGGCGATGAAGCATCAACAACAACACAACTGCAACCACGTACAGTAAACAGTAATCCTGATGATGAGACGACGATGAATGAATAATGGAATCGATGGAAGATTAATCACTAGATTTGTTGTTGGTTGTTGGTTGTTGATGCTATAAATAATCCAACCGAACACGAGGCGCTGCTCACAAAGAACAAGGCTAAGTCCATCGGACGATATCCAATAAGATCCAGGATCAACAAAACGAGATCATCGCTGCTTCATCTTAGGAAGCTCAGGGCGCTCTCACTTGAAAGTGATAAGCCTCTTTGCGATCCAGATACACCACTTGTCCTGCCAAACCCGCCTTCTGCATCTCTATCTTGAAGTCCTCCAGCGGACTCGCAAACACATTGTAATCATCATAGTGGATCGGAATGGTCAGATCAGGCTTGATCAGGCGCACCAGCTCCACGCCCTGTTGCGCATCCATCGTCACCATCATCGTCAGCGGCCACATGTTCGGATGTGGCACCGTCGTGCCTCCAAGATGGATGAGCATCAGGTCTATCTTCTGGCCCGCGAACCGCCGCGGGATCTCTTTCAGTTCGTCCACCATCAGCGTGTCGCCGGAGATGTAGATGCGATAGCCGACCTCGAAATCGGTTTGCATAGTTTGGGTGCTGCCATAGCCTAATTCAACCATCCATCCGTTGGTGGGGGGAATCTTGATTGTCAATCCATTGTCATATGTCATTGCAATGTCAGGAAATGCTTACTGCCGCCGCGAACTCGTTCAATTTCTCCACGACCTTGTTGGTCGGGATGTGTTTGCCTGGCATGCCAGTCACTCGAATGTGCGGTTGTTTGGTTCGCGAACTGTCGCCTTTGATATTGACCATCATCTGCTCAAATGGCTCGAGATCAAACACTTGCTGGAACGAGTCCGCCCCCTTGGACGTCAATATGGACTTGGCATGGCTTGTGGTGATGATGGGCAGGTCTCGCCGAAGAGATGCCTCGACTTTTTGATCAAAATGATCTCTGCAAGGGTCAGTCCTGATGCAGTGGTCGCTGGAGGCAGTATAGGATACCCATGATAGTGAGATAAAAGTACCAAGTCGATTCGAGGCAGTTCGTGCAAGTCAACCGCGGGATTTGTTCGACGGGTAGCAGTCACCCCAGGACCAAGATGGACATGGTCTCCCGCATGAAGGAAGTTTGGCTATCTCGTCAGTTTGTGCCAATGTACCGACAGAGCATGAACGAACATCGGTCATCAACCTCATCCCCTCCCATTCACTAGCCAGATTAGCATCTCATTGATATGAGGCAAGAAGCTACTGACAAGATCGTCGTAGCCGTTCCAACAAAGTAGACCGATGCATTTTCTTCTCCGGCTCGAGCAGGATTGGTCTTGATGTTTGTCGCCTCGGGAAGACTTGCTGGAAGAGAAGTAGCCGGTGAATCCCGAATTGGGGGGATGTTCTGACGGGGATCGATGGATAGACGCTTCATACTGGGACTGTTGAGCCGGCCTATATAGCTTGAGTAGGATTATAATTGATCGAGAGTTGAATTACAGCGAATGAATATTTATCGACATGTTACCTCGACGATGGAGTCTCGTACACATGACGTCACTCAACAGCAGCATCACCATTCTCTATGAGGGTATACAACTGCTATCTTCCAAGGATGCAAAAGGGAAGCCCTTGGAAGAGGCATCCATGGTAGTATTGGCAGACTACCTCGGTAGATAGCTTCGTTCCCTGAATAAGTACTGGACCTGGATGCATGCTCTTCTCAACTTCATTCCCTTTCGACCCTCCAGATCTCCCTTTAAGGACCTTAACCTATCATTGACGACCATTGAGCTCATTACAGTAGCTCGACAGATCGATCCCATTCTAAGCTCGGCCAGCGCTCTACTAGTATAACAACAACATTGATTCACTCCAAACACGTCGAGCGTCTGGTCCAGCGCGCAGCGGAGCATGGAAAGCAATTGCCTGCAGTTCTCAGACGATGAGTCCTGGCGTACCTATTTCTGCTCGTAAACCGTCGTAAGCATCTCTACCACCACCTAGCCGGCATCCACACGGCATACCTTGCAAAACCCCTTCCGTACACAGATACTCGGCACAACAGTATCAAGCACCCAGATAGCAAGCCTCGGGACAGGAGCATCAGGACGAGAGTCTTCCTGCAATTGAGCAGGAAGGGGCGGCGCGTAGCGGTATAGAACAGGTGGATGACATCTAGTGAGATCAGGCCCTGCAGCGAGAGGACATAGAGCGGTGCCGACACGCGAAGATCGAGGAATGGGGGGATGGAAATGAAGAGGGGGAGGAGGGTGTAAATGTTTAGCGTTAGTAGGCCGCAGAGGATGGCGATGAGGGACTCGGATGCGGATTGGGAGGTCATGTTCATGGTGAGTTCTAGTGAAAGTTTTACTTGGCTTAGGGCTGTGTAGACGGGAAATGGGGATATAAGACCATGCCTGTCTCCTTCGGTCTACAGGCTAATGGCTCGTTGGCAGTACATGTCTAGTCCGCTCGCGCACTAGTTATGCATCCTGGGCATGGTTGCATTCAGGGGGGTCATTATCCATTAGCCATGAGTCCAGGGACGATATGAAACTAGAGCTTAGTTTATGGAGTAGAGACAAGTAATTATGTCAAGAAATGTGAGAGAAGTATCATTCGTATCATCACTATCTATCGCTTCCTGCGCGATCCGAGTATCAATCGACTAGCAAACCCCGTGCGTCTTCCCGGTCTTGCCCTGCAAGGAATGCTTCTCGTTCTTGTAGTGCGAATGGTTATGCGTGGACTTGTGCGAGTTAACTGCATGGTTTTGCACATGTCTAGACACATCTCGTCAGTAGAGCCCGGTTGGTTAAGGGTGTCAGTACTTACAAAGTATACTTCTCCAGCATGGCCTTGTCCATATCGCTCAACGTCTTCAGCGCCAGCTTGATATCCGTCAGCAGAGCGTCGCACCGGTTCATGCTAAAGTCCTCGCGGACAACCACCCGCATCAGCTTCAGCTCGTTGCTGTGCGGCGCCATCGTGTACGCGGGCACGATCCACCCCCGCTCGCGCAGCTGGTGCGCCAGGGCGAACTCGTCAAACTGCTCGTCGCGGTCTGGAGGCAGGCGGAACGCCACGAGCGGGAGTCCGCGGCCGCGCCGCTGGCTCATGATGATGAAGCCCAGCTGCTCCAGCTGCTGCGCTAGGTAGTCGGCGATGCGCGTGATGTTGACCATGATCGAGCGGTAGCCGCGCTTGCCCAGCCGGATCATCTGGTAGTACTGGCCGATGACCTGCGAAGCACCCTTGGAGAAGTTGAGGGTGAAACTGGCCTGCTCGGCGCCCAGGTAGTTGATGTTGAAGATCAGCTCCTTGGGCAGGTATTCCGGCGATCGCCAGACGACCCAGCCCACGCCGGGATAGACAAGGCCGTACTTGTGGCCAGACACGTTGATTGAAACGACCTTCTCCAGGCGAAAGTCCCAGAGTAGGTTGGGGTTGATGAACGGGACGACGAAGCCACCGCTGGCGGCGTCCACGTGGATAGGAATGTCCAGGCCGCGCTCGACCAGGAGATCGTTGATCGCCTTGATGTCTTCGTACTCGCCCGTGTACGTGGTTCCCAGGATGGCGCAGATGCCGATGGTGTTCTCGTCGATCAGATCAACGGCCTGCTTGGGGTCAATGACATAGCGGTCCTCGGTGCAGTAGACAAAGCGCTCCTCCACGTCAAAGTACCGCGCGGCTTTCTCCCAGCAGACCTGCACGGCGCTATTCATGATGATATTGGGGCGAGTGTGGTCTTTGCCCTCGGCCTTGCGCTTGTTCTGCCACCGTCTCTTCATGGCCAGCGTGCCCAGCATGATGGCCTCGGACGAGCCAATGGTCGAGGTCCCGACGGGGTGCTCGTCCTCGCTTTGGATAGGGGCATTGAACAGCCGAGCGATCATGTTGACACACCGGTTCTGGATCTCGGCGGACTGGGGGTATTCTTCGTAATCGATAAAGTTCTTGCTGAAAGCGTCGGTCATGAGTTTCTCGGCTTCATCTTCCTACTCGAATTAGCTGCGGTCAACAAATTGGTGTGGCCCGAATACCATGTACGTCGTCACAAAACTAGCCAAACTACAGAGGATCAGCGATGCACCAAAGGACCATTTGCAAAAGTCAACCTACTTGAGCATAGGATTTCCATCCAAACTAAGCTCATCCTTGATCATGCGGTAAGCGACCTCGCGGGGCATCTCCTTCTCGGGCATCTCATTCTGGGGCAGTTGCTGCGCCGCAAACCGAGTACCGTACACAGTGGAGTAGAAACCGTCATCCTCGGTGGTTTCGAGCTGAATAGAGTCAACGCGTTTAACGAGGGGTTCGACATTTTCGCTGTCGCGCTTGACCGTGGCAAGGTGGACCATATTGGGTTTCTATGTGAGAAATATGCGGATGCGGATGCAGGTACTTGGAACAGATGCAGAATGCAAGAGGAAGCAGGTCAGAAGCAGGAGCTGTAGGGAAAGCAACGTATTAATATTTATCTACCTTTTTTTAGAATCTTAATACAGTGATAACTTTAAGAGATCAGCATGGATCATCAGAGTAAACAAAACAGGGCGGGCACAAGAGATGGATCGCTCTACGGTCAGAGGGGGGAAGAGGGGGTGGCTGTTAGTAGTGTTGCTCCTCTGTACGAGTGCTATGAAAAAGTGGCACCACAGGATCAGTGGATCGGATAATAGCATCCTGAGATTGGATACTAGAGAAGCCCTTCAACCTGCTAGTGAGTGAGAAGATATTCTCAGCCAGTCAGTCCGTCATCTGGACGAGATGGAGAGCTGAGCATGTCTCATTGGATCCAACCCCTCCACAGTCAATGTCAACGCATAAGTACTGATTGATGACCAAAATAGCAGCTCAGAGTATCCAAAGCTTAGAAAAGCTTGGCCAGAGAAGAGGGTCAAGGAACAAGTGGATAAACTGGGTCTCATCTCAGCCACTTCCACAGTCGAGGAGACAAAACCGGTTGGAGGAGGGGAACTGAATCTCAAGGGCACTGTAATTATTAGTACTACCTTGTCTATATGCAAGTAACTGAACCGGATAGAACGAGGATGATCAAGAGAGTCGGAAGAAGATGGTGAGTCGATCCACGTCAGTACAGATGCTCATTTCCAGCCACCAAGTGGGGTACTGTGATTGCAATGATGACAGTGGCCTCAATATTATTACACTAAGAGCACTCAAGGTAGCAGAGCTCATAGTAGATACTCCATAGAACAGTTCCACTTTACCCAGGCTATTACAATTCATTTCAAGTTATCAGCTTCCCTCCACTGACTTCATTCCGTATCGCAATGAGCGGTGTATCTAATAGGAGACAGCTATGGTAGAACTCATTCCATTAACATTAACTTGTATCAATCTCAAAACAGCCGAGGGTGTAAAGACCCCGCAGCAGTAATCAATCAGTCAAAGCAACTCAGATCAATGCCTCCAGCCCAGACCCGTTGGTATCTTGTCCCATCCATATCATACACAGCGTGATGCACTGGCCCGACTCAATGCATCGATCATCATCCATTTTCGTACAAACAAAAAAGTTCGAATCTGTATCCTTTATTTTTTGGTCAAGTTTTTGTCTTTTTTTTGTCTTTATTTTCTTCGGCAGTCTTCTGTTGCGTCTTGTATACTTGTATATAGGTGTATAAGAATATTTGACGAGGCAAGGTAAGCGATTAAGTGCCCTTGACCTTGCGCTTGATCCATGACCAGAAGCCACTCTTGCGCTTGTCCGCCTTGGCGGCTTCGGCTTTGGCTGCCTCTTGGGCTTTGTCGACGGCCGTTTGCGCCTCCTCGTGCGACTTCTTAGCGTCGGTAGTCTCGGGCTGCTGGGTCTCCTCTGCAGCCGCCTCTTCTCCCCGGGTCTGACCCTGGGTCTCGGGCTGAGTCTCGGGCTGACTCTCCTTGGGCTCAGCTTCTGTCTTGTCGGCGCCTTCAGTGGCAGGTGCCGGCGAAGCAGCCGACTTTCCTCTCATGGCGGCGACGGCGGCAGCGGTAGCAACGTTGGGTTTGGCCTTTGTGGGGGTCTCCGGGGTCGTCTCGACGGGCGCGGTCTCCTGAGCCTTTTCCTTGGCCTTCTCCTCAGACTCTTGCTGGGGCTCCTTGGCCGCGGGGCCCTGTCCCTCGCCGGTGAAAGCTTGAATGCTCTCTTTAGCCTCCTGCTTCTGCCTGGCCTCTGCGTCGGCTTCGCCCCCTGCGCCTGCGGCGGGAACGAGAGGGGACGTGGTGGAAGCAGCAGCCTGGGCGGCCGAAGGAACGGTGGTCGGGGCAACAGCTTCTGCAGGCTCGACCTTCTGAGGAATTTCAGCATCAGAGACGGGCTTGTCTGTGGATTCGGCACCAAGCCCTGGGACAACCAGGGGTTGCACCGTCGACTTGCTTGGCACCTCGGTTTGCAAGTCCGCAGCCTTGGTTTCTGCAGCGGCAGGGGCGGCTTCGGAGTCCTCGACCTTGGCCATCTTGGGAGGCTTGTGGTCCTCGTCCTTGTGGAAGAGGCTGCTCTCGTATGGCCGCTTTGGATGGCCAGTCAAGTCCGCACTGTCGGACGGAGATGTGGCTGTCGGTTCGGCCGCAGCAGTTTCCTTCTCCTTGAGTCTCTCTGGCAGTGCTGTTTCCGCCGGCGCTTCCCATACTGGAGCGTTGGCGTCTGTGACGACGGGTACGGGAGGGGCGGCCTCGGTAGCAGTCGCTTCGGGAATGGTGGTCTCGGGGGCCGTCGTAGGAGCCGTCAACTGGGACTCTTTGGCGACCGTATCAGGCAATACGGCTGAAAATTGTGTGAGCTTAGCTGCCTCGCTTACAAGCGCAAGAAACACCTACCTTGTCCCTCGCCATCACCTGCGTCCAACAATCCGACCAGACCCGCCTTCGAAGCCTGGGTCTTGCCGACAGCACCCTGCAGGGTGTTCTCGTTCATTTCGGATTCGGCTTCTCCTCTATCGGGCAAGGAAGATGGCATGCCACGCCCCTTTGCGTCACCCGGGTGCTCCGCCAACGAGAACCTCTTGGCGGTGCCGGGGTTCCTAAGCTCGTCTACGTCCTCGTTCGATGAATCGCCATTTTCAGTGGTCTCCGCGGTTGACGTGCCCTCTGCTCCTGTGCTCGCGGCGACATGAGGCGGGGCAGCGGAGGGGACATTGATAGCAGTGCCGGGGGCGAGGCTTTCGGTGGTTTCGCCTTCGCCTTCGCCCTTGATAACATCTTCAACTTGGTGGCCGGTGGTTCTATTAAGAATTGGCTGCGGTCAGTTCTGCTGCGAATTCTGAGGCGAACCTAGAGATTCGCGTAGCGGACGGAGATTTGCGCAACTTACATATGCTCTTGGACGGTGGGTGCCTTCTTCGCTGTGCCGCCACCGCCCTTACCCTTGCCCTTCTTTCCCTTTCCACCTTTCTTGGGCATGATGATTTGAGTCCTTGACCTGTGGGACCTTGGGGACAATGTCAGAAAATTATGCCACCAAGGGCGGAGCTAGGAGGGCAGTCGGAGTCGAGAAAAGACAACGGTACTTACTGTCTTGCGCGACGCGATAAGAGACGAAAATTGACAAACAGATGGCGCGAATCTCAGCTGAATATCGAGCTTAGGGTAGGGAGTTGTTGAAGACAGTTAGGAAGGCGACGGCAATTCTGGTCGGGACGTCTAATCGACATCGGGGAAGGTTAATCCGGGTGTTGAGGCAGTCGCGCATTGCAATGGTTAGGTACTCACTCAGAAGTAGCCACCTCGAGAGTTGGCTGTGTCTATATCAGCGTCGGGTTCAATTGAACTACTAGTAGCAGAGATGGTCTTGTACTGGACCCGAGTTTCAGTGCGCTGGAAGATGAGAGAAGTTCAAAGGCAACAGTCACATGAGCTGCGTCGCAAGCACCCACTTACCCATTGGGCCGAGGACTTTTCACGGTACAGCTAATGCTATTATTCGTAGGTCCTTGCAGTAGTAATGATGATAATCTTGCTTATTCTGGCTACTGTATCAGCGAGGGGATGGCCGGTCTCAGCCACGGTTCAATCTGGGTCCGAAACAGCTCTCCCTGCTGGTGACGCATTTGAATCATTTAAGATTATTATAGAAACAGCTTAGTCAATTGCTTGCTGATCATAGTGAGCATGATCAATGTCATTATTCCTTCCTTTTTTCTGATTCCGTAGATCTTGAACTATGAGTATCTATGAGCTATGGTGCATGCTTGCTGTGTTCGACAGGAGCTTCAAAAAAGATGACAGCCAAGCCGTTTCCGGCGATCGCGGGTCGTGTGCCTGCAGCTGCTCAAGGAGTTTAGGGCGGTTTCACTCCCAGCCCTAGCGGCGGATCAAGGTTCTTCCGAACGCCTGATCAACTGCCTATTCCGGATGGGCATGGTTGTGTTATTTAGAGTGAATATAGAGAGGTATCAACATCAACAGTAAACATTATATGCGTGAGTGCTAACTGGGTAGAATATAAGATAACTTGGACATTGTTTTGTAAGTGCATGTATTAGCTTGCGGAAAGAATCTCCGACTTGTCTGAGTAGAACGAAATCTGTAAAGATGTGCCAGCCACTGGCTGCTTCCGGAGGTCGCACATACTTGGACAACGAGTCCTTTCTAGAGTTCTTGACACTGGTGTTGGGCGAGTATGCTTTCGGTCTTTCACTGGCTAGTGGCACAGGGGAACTGGTTGAGGATGACTTGTCCATGAGAGATATACTTGGCGACAGAACATGAAAGGAAGAATATATACAGCCGTCCTAGTGAGCATAGCAAACACAGAAATCATCCATGGCGATCTAGACCCCGGATACATGGCTGAATAAACCATCCTCTGTCATCTAAATGGCTCGCCACATGGTCAACATCATTCAAATCCTCTTCAGAGGATAAGTGAGAGGTAAACTCGAGAAACACGCCTTCTATAAAGGCGATTCCCTCATGCCGGCAGAGAACAGTATTGGCTCTACCATATCATGTGTGAATGCCCGAAATAAGGCATCCAAAGCAGAAGAAGCAATTCCGAAGAGACTTCTAAAATGGCAAATTGTGGCCCGCCTGTACCCGTATGTACCTCTCTACAAGGCAGAGCTGCACTGGGCTGACATCATGCATTGCCGTCGACGACGCCCAATGTTCTCCATTAAGTCATTGCTGATCTGGCCTGCAAGGTTACAGGTCTTTGCGGTAAGAAATCCAATATCAGTAAAATTCACTTTGGAATTCCTCTTGTATCTTCGACAATTGCGGAGGAGGAGAAATAAGCTGTTCAAAAAGTCAAGGAAGCAAAAAGTAAAAAGAATTGACCTACGCAGGGCTCGAACCTGCAATCTCTTGATTCGTAGTCAAGCGCCTTACCATTGGGCCAGCAGGCCTTGCTGATAGAAGAATAGTCTTCTTTCGGTTTGACTACATCAACCTATAAAACAGCGTTACCGGAAACAGCGTGCCGAGTGGGGCACTCGGCCCAGGTATGAAATCACTCACTCCGGTGGAGCACACTGCCCTCCCACATCCCATCGAACTGATTCGCTGGCTCTGAATCACCTCCACCTGGGTATTATGACGGAACGGCCAACGGAGTACGGAGTATGTTACGCCGGGTACTGAGAACATAATCTCTTGTGTGAAGGGATTATCCTTGGGTGAGGCCCTTTGCCCCGTTTTTCTTCGCTGATGTCGTACGCGGCAGGTCACGATGCCACACGTCTGGGGGCTCTGAATCCAGAACAAACGCCCAGATTACAGAGTACAGCGAGATGATGTATGTTGCATTTTGATCCCGGTGGCAATCGGCAATCAGGATCCTTTAGATTAAGGTGCTAGATTGGTTGGTGTGGCTCTCAGACCGGCTGTCTTGGCCGTAATTCTGGAATTGTTCGCTGCAGGACGGGCGACTACGAGTAGAGCGCCAGCCTATTACATACCTCAAGCCCCGCGGAAGTATCCAGTCGTCTACCTAGAGAGGTACTCTTACGTACTCAGTGCTACCCACTATCATTATGTGTGAGGCATTTTCTATGACAATTCATATGTATCATTAGCGAGTATAAGGTACTCTGTATAATACGTCTGTGCAGAGAGAATAGGTAGACGGCTGTCATAAATCAAGGCGCTTGCCACCACTCTCGCACTTGGATGGTTACAAAGGTCACATACTAATGTTACCTCCCTGGCACAGAGGAACACTGGATTGCTTGGCGAGAGTGGCCGTGTCTCTACAATGAATTGACTATATGAACTGACCCGAGGAGAAGTAACCCTTGGTTGAGGAGTGGTTGACTTGGTCGAGGAGAAATACGGTGCTCACCAGAGGTAAACTTCGTGCGAGATAAGGAACAAACGGCACGCTTAGTTTTTGGCCACCCATGGAAAGAGATAGGATTGACATCGGCTTCGATGCGCCGACCACCGAATGGAGTAATCTCATTTCTCACCTCGCAATTTCAACGCAAAACTCAGAGAACTGGAAGCTGAGGTTGCATCTCTAAGGTATCGCTGTAGTCGCCTACCTAGGTAGTCTACCTTGGATAGTAACTATATCACGAAGGCTGTCAAGAAGGTTGATGGGCTCTGATCTCTTTAAACCTAAGGGACTCCTAAGTACTCAACAATTCCATCGCTTGGGGCGTTTATGATCTCACCCGTCAGACGCACAGAACCATGGCACAGGTGGGTTTCGCTATTTTCCCCCACCCTCTCAGAACAGCGCAATTCCAACGCCCCGAGTCGCAGGAAGTTTCCAGCTGCAGTAAGATTACGGCGAGAACAAATAAGAATCACTACTTGCATAGGTATCCTCTGTGCTCCTCGTTTTGCCTCTCCACATTTTCTGGTAATTCTGTAATCTACTAGGTAGATACTCCGTACGGAAATGCGGACTACCTATGGATATGGGGGGTGCCTTTCTCTCTCCTGCCCTCTCCGGATTAGGTCCCGAGATGTTACGCCTTCAGTCCCACGGCTTATCTGCGCCATAACTGATGGTAACTATTACCTATTTAATAATGCTCACAGTCAATCTCTATTTAATTAATCTGCTCAGTTCCATAGGTTACTCAACTTACCTTAGACTAGTATCTATGATTCCATACTCCATAGTACCTATCCAGTGCATCGTACCCGTCTCTCCATCTTCATCTCCATAGTCTCTCTCCTTCCGTCTTTTCCCTCTCTCTCCCTCTTCTTCCCCTCAATTATCATTTCTTCTTCCCTTTCTTCTTCTTCTTCTTCCTCCTCCTGGAGTTTGCATATCCTACCCTAATCCAGCATCATCTAATCAAACGATGAACCAATGGTCTCTTACTACAGTTGATTGTAGTTTGTGCTTGCACACCTTCCCCCGCATCCGTGCCCTCACCGGGACTGGTCTGCATTGAGGCTACTACTATTCTCAACACCTACTTGCAACACTTCACTACACCAATCCGTTACAACACACTCTACAATTCCTGACCATTTCTGTCACAATGAACTTTAAAGACAAGTTCAAAAAGGTGTTCCACCGAAATTCCAATGGCCACTCCAATTCGAATTCCCGTAGCCACTCCAAATCGAAATCCAACGGAAATGGCAATGGCAATGGCAATGGAATCAAGATCGAGTACTACAAACGCGGTGAAATCCCGCCGTCCAAATTCCGCGGCCCCTTTGATCCTGAACACCAGAAGAGATTGGCCGCCTGGTCATTCGAGGCTGCGCAGGCTGAGCGCCCCCGCGCATTAGACCCCCCACTGTCTCCCTGTACAACATTATCGGAGTACTTGAACCCGCGACATGGCGACAGTGAGGACGAAAGCGTGGCTCCAGACCAGATCTGCGAGACAGCACCGCCAGAGGTGGGATTGCTTGACTGTAAGTGGCTGTTACCTCCATTCCACGCGTGCCCTCTATTCATACTGGTGCAACCCGTAAGCATACACGTAACGACGTTCTGACAACGACCAGCTTCCGCCACTGTTTCCCACCACGAATACGCTCCGGGTCGACAGGAAGAATCTTCGGGATCCTCGTCTTCTACAGCCGTCGAATCGAGCAGCTATAGTGATTCGACGATGACACTGTACTCTGACGATGCTCGAATGGACTCCATTGCGCTAATCAAGGAGTCGGTACGGTACACCTCGCCGATCGTTCGCGCCGTGTCACCACCGCCGCCAACATCCACAAAGGGTACCTTGATGCCTTTTTCACCAGATGATCTGACTCGAGCGTTGAACGCCGTTCAGATCTGCTCATAATGTACCTTCATCAACTGCCATTCTTCTCCGTCCAGAGGACGGAGCCTCTTGTCCATTGTCGACTGTCCTTATGTTCGACGACTTTCTCCACCCGCACTGGTGTGCGAATTCCCTTCAACCTACCTTACTTTCACCGGAGACCTCGAATACCAGGCCGTTTTCCAGGTCTTGTTTTTCAAAGTTCAGAAT